ATTTTGGAAGCTGTTTTATCGCAACAACGAATACAAAAATGACCAAATTCCTTGCCAGTAATTTGAGGTTCGACAAGGTTTACAAATGAATCATATCCATAACAACTCGCACCAACAGGAGCTTTAGTGTCATATTGACCACCTTCGTCTTTTGGGTTCGTGTATACAGCTCCATTAATGAGTCCAGTGATTTGGACATAACCATTTCCAGATTCGTAGTACATTGTTTGGATAAATCCATCCGGGAAAATATTAACATTAGGAAATTGCACGAAATGTGCAGAGCAGAAAACGACAGCATCACTTTCACTAATGCCAATGTCTTGACCGGGAGGTCGTGGAAGAAAGGAACAGAAAACTGTTTCATTTAATACTACGGCAGTAATCGGATCACCTCCATCACGAGTTTGTAAATTGTTTACGCCCACAGCGACGGCATGAACATTTGTTACGATTGCAAGGACAAATAATATTATAAATAATTTTGTCATTTTTTGGAAAAAAAAAAATAAACAAATAAATAAATTTGATTTTAAGATTAGAAGCGAATGAATTTTAACACCAAAGATTTAGAAGTGTATGACTTAAACAAAATTAATGTTTTTTGAGTGAATTGAGGGATTAGGTGTTTATATAAAAAAATCCAACACCAAAGACTTGAGGTATGTAAGATGTTTTATTTAATTTTTTTTTTTTGAAGAGAATTGGGGGTTTATATAAAATCCATCACCAAAGATTTACAAGGTTTATGCTAAACATAAATTTTCATAGAACAATATATCATTCACTAACTACGTATTAGGTGAACAATCGAACAAATTACTATAACAGATAATGATGTAAGATATTACGTATTAAAATTTCTTTAATGATTTTATGAATGTATGATCAAAGTTTTCCGTTATCACTATTTTTCTAAAAAGGAAATAGATTCACGCCAACCCTATACGTATATATTTCATTTTTACACATGTGTACGTATAAAATCTATTTATAACCCTATAGATCGTCAAATTAATATTAAATTAGTAATAAATCCCGAGATTTTCTTAGAGTTGCAACCCGGCCTTCTATTTTTGATTTTCATATTTCAAAGATAGAACTTTGAATAAAATAGCGATAACGATAATATGTACTGGAATCTGAATTTCGATGATTTCTACTTTCAATTTCTTGAAGTCAATTAGTATAGAATATGCTCATGGTAGAATGATAAATTCAATATCACGTAATCTGAATTGAGCTAAAATTAGATTCAGGGTTGATTTGAGATTAAGATCAGGCGAGTGTTATCAGTAAATTTATTACCTAGACACTTCTCATTAACAGCTAATACTTCCAAGTTTAGATAATCATTCTTTTTAGTATTTATCACAACTTTCTTTCTCCTTGCTTCGTCAACTGATAAAGACATGATTTAATTGAGCTCCAAAAAAGGATACGATCTATTGTAATTCCAAACCATATGTTTAGGGGACTGCGTGGTCCGATAATTAATCTTTTTGTTTTATTGTATTTTTTTTTAATTTTTGATTTTTTTAATTTTTTGAAAATTTATTAAGTTCGGCCCGGCTCCAATATTAATTAGTATTACATTTGGTTTTTTAAACAAGTACTATACAGAATGTATGTACTTTATAAATGCTTCATAATTGATAATTTAGATATTAAATGTAATGAGGTTTTAAAATTAACAAATAGAAGACGCATTTCGGAAAAATAAAACAAGATTTTCTAATCTAAATTTTAAAAACCCCTAATGATACCGTCCAGTAAACATATGAAATACTGCTGAATTCAACTAAAAATAGGTTACAAATTCTTTTTTTACCATGAGTCTAATCTTTATCATACCATGTGTATTTATAATCTTAATTCCGTGTAGATATGTTTTGAAATTACTATCAGCTAGAGCTTTGAAAGGACTATCAAAAGTGTACCTGGACACATGCCTGAACTATTAATAGATAGTGTCTGTGTCTGGCATCTGCAAAACCCTAATTTCATCCTGAAAAATATCGACAAATTAAATAAATCTAATCACAAATTTTACTGTATCATGAACAACGATTTGCAAGGGTGTAAATAAAAAATAATATATAATAAATAAATAAATAAGTAAAATGGATTGACAATCTTATATAGATTCACACCAATCAATTCAATTATTTAATATAACAGTGCTAAAATAAAGTATATATGAATTTTTGGATGAGTAGAACTTTACTCTAAATTAAAATGATATGTTCGAGGCTAATGACAATTGTAAGTATGGCCATGTACGTAGCAACCATCTATCTCGCGCTGTCCACCGACATTATACATATAGTCACGAGACAAACTCCACAAGCTACCAAAAAGAATGTGGTATATTCTAATTAAGTATAACAAATTTAATTCCATAAGCAAATCGAACAGCAATTTTTTTCTTTTAAAATTAAGATAAATAAAATTTGCTTAATTTACTATAAAATATCGTTAATCTATTTTTATCCAATAAATAAATAAAAAAAAGCCTAAAATAGAATAATCTATGACAATCAAAAGGGATCTATTAAACGGGTTATTGTGATAAAAGTCACGAGATATTCATTTATAAATACTGTACACATTGCGAGGAAAAGTGAACTTGACATTTATGGTGAGTGATAGTCTCAACTAAATTATATTAGACCCACCCAATCAAATGAAATAATTTCCTAGTTATCTATCAGATCATCCGAATTGAATGCATATATATTACGTATTATGATTTTCAATCAAATTTATACTGGCTCATATTTCCTTACCTAGATACAATTATTAAATTTTTTCATTCAATTCACGCCGATTATTAATCGTTAATTGCAAATAACACGTGCTACATGGCTTTAGAATTTTTTTTCATATGATTTTTTTTTTTTTTTTTTTTTACCAAGTTTATGACTTTCAAGATTATCTTTGTGCTTTATAATTTAACGGATCCAACTCCAAAAATTATGATTTGTGACATATGTACCAGATATCAGCGACGAAGTGTAACAAATATATGGTTGTACATTGCTTTTAATTAAATCTGTCTACAATATCTTATCATTGAACAATAAGTATTTTAAGCAAAAGAATGTGTGTCATGTGCCTAAACTCCATGATAATTTCGGTTTTACTTGATCATGTGGATAATTGCAATTCCTTGAAGGTGTTGCCACTTTGGCCGGTGCCCTATTTAAAGTAGTATATACGAGGTATGAATGTACAGTAGTTTAAAGGGACTACAATTGATTATTATACGTGTAAAGTAAAGCTATTATATTGATCATACTTATGTGTATATGATGATTAATGAAACATTGATTATCTAAAATGTTCGTAATGATTGAATAATATTCGATTATTGCACGGGTCTTATGTGACAATCTGTGCTTTTTTCATTTATTTATTGGCACGGGATTGTATTTCAGACACCGTGCACTAAGATAGCTACTATATATATGCGTATATGAATAACTCAGTTACGCACGGGATTGTATTTCAGACACCGTGCACTAAGATAGTTACTATATATATGCGTATATGAATAACCCAGTTACGCACGGGTTCATATTTAAATCCCGTGCCTATGGCACTGAATATGAACCCGTGTGTAACGTGGTATTCATACCGATACATACCTACAATAACTATAAATTATTTCCGGTCGTACACTAGAACTGATAATTAGCTTGACAAAAATGGTATCAAAATTTTCCACCAATAAAAAAAAAAAAAATTGGAAATTTTGATATTATTAAAATTAAATGTGATGGTCTAAATTATATGAGTGACGCCAAGGGAAAATGGGACATTGATTTATTTAAATAATAAATGATAAACCAATGTCCCCTTTTCCCACATTGGCGTCATTCATGGATATGTTCATACGTACGTACGTACGTACAGTCGCCCCGAAAGTTTAACACGATTATACAAAAAATAATATACAAATCAACGATAAAATATTAATGAATACAGCTGAATCTTGATATAAAAAAGTCATCGTGTCCAGCCAAAATCTTTCTTATACAGAGACTTTCTCATATCGAAGGCTTTTTTTATAAAAATTTTTAATTGGGACTTGTAAAATCTTATGTATACTAAGAGTTTCTCACACGAAATTTTCCTATATCGTGAGTTACTTAATATACATAATTAACGTAGATTTGTATTATGTTTTTCGTGTAACCGTGTTAAACTTTCGGAGGCGACTGACGTACTGACTATAACTGATGAAATTTGTAGAGTGTTCATAAAAACTGATAAGATCTCGTAAACTATATAAAAACTGATAAATAACTGATAAGTAACTTATAAGGAAATTTACAATGATTTATTAAAATATAACTTTTATTCTCAATAGTCACCAAATTTTGCATATTATTGGTTTAAAAAATTTTTATTCATAATAATAATTATGAAAATTTAGTATTTTCGCTCATATTATAAGGAATCTTAATATTTTATTTTAGACACATTATTACGATTTGCAAAAAGATGTAGATCTCGATATCACATGTGAAGATTAGAGTTTGCTGATTTTTCGAAATTGCCAATTTCAAGAAATTTACAGATTTCCAATAAATACATAATTTCACTTATTACAGCCGTTTTCAAAAATGTGTGAACAACGATTTAGAGCGGGTCTTGAAAACTCCAGAAATCTGGAGAAATATCATGAATTCCCATGACAGGGTGATCTACGACCGTTCACACCTTTTTGAAAACAGTTGTAAATTTCGGGTCTTTAAAAACTCCGGAAATCTGGGAAATATTGTGAGTTCTCCCCCATGAAATGGTGATCTGCGACCGTTTACACCTTTTGAAAACAGCTGTAAATGGAATCTCAGAGATTTTCCTCTATCAAAATAACAAAAATAATGGGTTGCGTCTTTTTACAAAGCGCTATAATTAGATTTATTTATCAAAAAGTGCGAAGATTTTCTGATTACTTTGTGGTGGGGTCATAGTAATTTGAAAAGCAAAATAAAATGTTCATAGCAATACACTGACAGAACAATAAGATCTATCGACAAGTATTCTTTCAAAAATCTTTAGTGTGATATGCAATTTTTAATTACATGTGAAAGAGTACAGAAAAAAATGCAAATAATATTCGGAAAAGTTGCATATCACACCAAAGATTTATGAGAGAATACTTGTAATAAAAAAGTTTACTGCCTCACCTATAATAGTTTGTAAGCTTCTCCTTTTTTACTTATAGTTCTTTGAATGAGTAAAACATTACTTTTTAAAGAATTTTATTGAATTATAATTTTAGAATAGTTATTTTTAAAATCTTTGAAAATTATAAAGCTGTTGATATAAATAATATTTTATAATATTTTAAAAATAAATAATTTAATTAAATTTTTAATTAAAGTATAAAATTAATAGAACTTAACTCGGGATAAGAATCTGATGGTAAAAATAATTATAATTTTTAATTATTATATAGCAAGCAAAAAACGCTTTGCACAAACCCCAAAAATAAAAGTTCGTGAGGATCAACAGAAAATAATTTAGATAAGAATGATTTTCTTCAATTACAAATGATGAATTAGTACAATAATTTTATTGGAATACGAATATTGTATGCTTTTAATTGAAGAAAGAAAGGAAAAAACAAAAGAATTACGATTTGCTAATATGATTAAAGAGTGAAATTTATAAAGAATTTTTTTTTTAATGAATCTTTGCTTATTTGTCGAGGAGTAGCAATTGAAAAAGAATTTTCGCCAGGCACAGATTTGATGTACGTACATACTAGATAGTGTTGCAGCCATAGGAAAGACTTAGCTAACATGAGGTCAAATTAGCTCAGGGTTACAATCATAGGTTATGCGGAATGGGTGTTCATTAAGGGATTTGGAATTAGTGATAGCGGGTTATTAAGGAATGTATTTATTTATTTAGATATTTAGTCAGAGCAAAAAGAATCAATTATTCTTTATTAGTTTAGTCGTTATATTTATACTTTTCAAAATCTGGTGGTCCGAGGCCAAAATCTTGGGTCTCAAACCAACATCGGTGGTCTTGGACCAAGATCTATGGTCTCAGACCAATATCGGTGGTTACCTGTGGTCTGGGGTCATAGTCGAACATTCGTTTGATTGACTGATATAAATCAATTGCCCGGGTAACTTATTTATACACTTTAAAGTACTTTTTGGGATCGTAACGTTTCACTAATAAAAAATCACTGTAAAAGCCATTTTTCACTTCGAAAGAACGTTTATATTCACTATACAGAAATAATCAAAAATAATCAGTAACCCAGAGAACTTAGAAGACAAAATATGCTTACCGTTTATTGGACCATATTGTAGAGTGAAGGTAACTGGAAACGTTTTCGTCTAAAGCTATTTTATTACGTTAGAT